GAGGGAGGTGGGGGGAGGGAGGCGGGGGGGGAGGGGAGGGGGGGAGGGGGGGGGGGGGGGAGGGGTGGAAGGAGTCCCCGACTTGAGATTGCGTGGTCCTGTGAGTGGTCGGGTGGTTGGCGTTGCTGGTCAACAGAATTGCGGGGTGGGCGTGATTGTGGGGAGGGGGGGAGGGGGGGGGGGGCTCAGAGAATGGCATATGTGCGGTGTATGGGAGGGTGAAGAATGGATATGGATATGGGAGTGAGGATGGGGTTCGAGCGCTGCTCGGATCGGATGGAGACAAAGTGATGCGCGTGCGTGCGTGTGGTGGGTGCCCAGCGAGGAGGCCTGCCTCACAAGCGCTGCTCGCAAGCGCTGCCCGGCAATGATCGGCAGTCCTCCCGACGTAGATAGCTTGACATAGTTGATACTTGGGTCCAACGTGGTTACAGCATTGTAGGTGCCGGGAAAAGATGCATCGGTCATGATGACGTGGGCGATGATCTGTCGAAGGTTCGACCAGCCGCCGTGGTGGCGCCATTCGGCAGCAACTCGCCGCAGGCTCCGCACCGACGCTATCGTGACTGTCCCGCACCTAGATGGCGGGCACTGGGGAAGGGCATCTCTTGCCCACCACTTGTCGCGGGCACTAGAACTCGTGTTCGCTCCTGTATCTGTCTACCACCGGCTCGTCGCCCTTTCCACGCCAGTCGGAGCGAGGCCGTGCTGCGCAGCCCGGCACAACACGAGTTGAGCAGAGTGTAGGATGGATGGCATTCGGCTGGCCGGCCCAGGCCTGGATCGGCGGCCTGACGAGCATAGCCCACACAGCGGCCTGATCGATGACGGCGAGTCGACATGGTCGGCGAGCACGGCGTCAGACGTCCGGTTTCGCTCGTCGCGACAGACGTCGCTGCCAGTGGTCGGCGAGGTCGAGCTTGTCGACGAGGTCGAGGCGTGCGCCTCATCGATGCCCGCCGTCGTGCCGCTCCTGCAGATCCGCAACCGCATCCAGACTGAGGCCGAAGACGACGGTGTGGCCAGTGCGGCCGATGTGGCAGCCGCTGGCGACGTGGTCATGACCATGGCCGACGATCTGCCTGGCGAGCGCGGGTTCGGCTCGACAAGGCTGGCGCGATCGGGTTCGACCGTAAGCGTTGCGACCAGCGACATGGCGTCCAAGCTCCACGACCGCAACTTGCTCATAGCCGAGATGTTCCCCTCTCAAGTTGTTGTTCCACTCGCAGACTCGCTTGTCGACCTCCAGCCGGTTGATCTCGGTGGCGTCGACGCGCTCCCCGTCGCCTTTCACAACGATCGCGGCGAGAAGCAGCACAAGCTTGAGTCCGACACGCCGATTCTGCTTCCAGACTCGGTCCTCCACGCGGGGACACCAAGCTTTGCTCCCCGCCACTCGTCACGGTCGCAGTCGTCGTACCGATCGTCGCCGTCACAGTCGGTCCTTGTCAGCCCGACGTGCTCAGAGTCGAACGCGCTCGGGCTCGAGTCGGGCGCTGTTGACGACAACGATGACGATTGCAGTGGCTCTGAATCGGGCACGACGTCGGCGGACGGCCTCCTTGCTGCAGTCTCGTCGTATGGTACGATGGGCACGACTTCGGTGCGGCCGCCGACCATGCAGCGCAAGATCCGGTCGGCCTTTCGCCGGCAGCGCGAGATGATGGTGGTTTTGGCGACGATCTTGGTCTCGACACTTGTCGCGGTGCTGGTGGTACCAGACTTTAAGCTACTCGGTGTTCGTGCGTGGCGGCTGGGTGCCTTTATCGTCCTTGCCACGTGTGTGTACATGGTGACGTACGCACTCGCATCGCTGGTATTCCTCGCGCTGGCACGGATGATCCAGCCGCTGCTCATCTCCCAGTACCCGCGGTGGATTGCTTATCTTGCAGTCTTCATTCTCGCGCAGTACTTGTGGGAGCGAATTCTCGGCACGCCTTCGGCGCATGTAGAGTTGTGGGAGTCGACCATCCAGGCCGCGGTTGTGTTTGGTGTGGGCAAGCTCTTTCAGATTGCGCTCAAGAAGGCATGGATTGTCAAGCTCAATCGCAAGCTGTACTGGCGGCGGCTGTCGCAGACGATTCTGACTGAGAAGACGATTTCGCGGCTGCTGATTCCGCGGGCGCTTCTGGAGCATGTCGACGAAAGCTCATCGTCGGCGCAGTGCACCGAGGACGAACTCTCGTCTGCTGATCTGGCGTCCGAGAATGGCGTACGGCACGGCGGCAGACAAGGCAACATGACAGCGCGGCGGCGGCGGGCTCGCGATCCGATGGGTGCATCTGACTCGGACGATGAATCGGAGCACGCGCTAATGGAGGCAGGTGTGGAGCTGGCCAAGCTTGGCTCGGCCATGCCACCGCAGGCAGCCATCGACATGCCGACGCTGCGACAGCAGACAGCGCTGCAGCGTGGGACGCGTCGGCCCAAGTCGGTTGCCGATCAGATTCGGATGACCAAGGAGGCCGAGGTGCGGGCCGAGCAACAACGGCTGGAGCGTGAGCAAGCGCGCCGCGAACGGCTTGGCCTGCCGATGCGAGCGCGGATGCAGCGTGCAGGGCGCGGCGTCGACGGCTTGCGGTATCGCGGCGTGCCGGAAACCGTGGCAGAGGTCGTGCCTAATGAGCGGCGGGCGTCGCCATCTGGCTCGATGGCGAGTATGCCGAGCGCACCGAGCGCGGAGCCCGGTGGCGCGCGCAGTTTCGGGGTCAAGAAGAGGCCCGGCCCGGCGGCAGAGGCGCGCGACTTTGCGTCGATGCAGCAGGGCATGTACTCACTTCACGGAGTGACGACCGAAGAGCCGAGCATCGAGCAGTTCTCGCAGCTGTGGCAAACCATGGTCCGACGAGCCGACTTTCTCCGCAAGTCCAAGCCTTCGTCATTCCGGAAGATTGCCGGATCTGGGCGGCGGATGCGGCGGTTTGCGGCGCGGGCGGCCGAGGCGATCATGGACAACCTCGATGTGACCAACCGTGGCTTCCTGGTGGCCAAGGACTTTTTCCCGTTCTTTTCTACCCGTAACATGGCGCGTGTTGCATACGTCCTGTTCCGGCGGCAGGCGCGCGGGGCAGTGACGGTCACCGACCTCGCGGCCATCATCCGCATGCACCAGGCCGACCGCCAGCGGCTGATGCAAGCGATGTACTCGCGCGACTCGATCGGTAAGACGGCCGAGGGCATTCTGGACGTGGCGTACGTGGTCATTATGTTCTTTGTCATCATCTTTGGGGTGTATGGCGTCCCGTTTGAGCAGTTCTGGCTCTTCTCCACGGTCCTCCTCTCGTTTGCCTTTGTATTTGGCAACTCGCTGCGGTCGATCTGGGACTCGCTCGTCATCACCTTTGTGGTCCGGCCATACGATGCCGGCGACATCGTCAAGCTCGCCACCAACCTCATTCCGGTCCGGCTCATTGTCGACCAGATCAATCTGCTCACCACCGACTTTTACGGGTTTGACGGGCGGAGGTGGACGCTGCGCAACACAGCGGTGCTCGACGCCGGCGTGGAGCAGCACACCAAGTCGCGCAACTTTTACACCGAGATGTACTTTCACTTTGAGAACACGCTCACTGCAGAGCAACTCGAGGCCTTTCGGGCCCGGGTCCAGGACTGGCTCGCCAACGACGATGCACCGTGGGATCTCGACGACTACGCCCTCTTTGTCGAGCGCATCTCGCCGGCCTCGGAGACCATCGTCGCCTTTTGGGTCGGCCTCAAGTCCATCTCGTGGCGCGGCTACTTTATGTACAAGGCTCCGCTCTCCAACCTCATCCTATTCTGCCGCGAGGTTGCCGCCGACCTCGGCATCACCTTTTTCATCCCCAAGCGCTACCTCTACGGCGTCGGCCTTGATGCCCCTGTCCCGCCCGGCACTGAGACCGCCTCGTCTGCCCCACGTCCGCCCATCTTGGAACTTGGCGAGGGTGCCGTTGACGGCCCTGCGCGACTTGGCTAATCTCCCACGACCATGTCCACTAGTCTTCCCCCTGACGCTTTCTTAACAGAGATCACATCGGGTGGCTGATGGCGAGTCGGCGGGCTGTCGGGATGGCGGCGGGATAGCGAGATGGCGGCGGGATAGCGAGATAGCGGCGGGATAGCGAGTTAGCAGCAGAGCTGCCCGCCCAATATTGCGCGCCCAATCACAAAGAATGTCACATTGCCCACTTCCCTTCCCACGTCACCACTCCTCCTCCCCCCTCCGCCTCCCTCCCTGTCCACACGCACACAAACACACACACACACACACACACTCGCTCGCTCTCTCTCTCGCTCTCTCTCTCTCTCTCTCCACTCCTCACACCCTCTCATCAACACCCCCACCCCCACCCCCCAACCCCCAACCCCCCGTCCCGCCCCTCACCCGCATGGCGCCTGACGTGGCAGCGCCAGCACCCGCAGTTCAGAGTCGGCCGGCCGAGCACAAGCCAGGATGGGTGGAAGAGTATGCGGCAAGCAAGTTTGGAGTCCAGCTACTGTCGTACGCGCGGCTTCCGGCTTGGCTCCGTGACAACGAGTACATCCGATCTGGCTATCGGCCTCCGCTCAAGTCGTTTGTCAAGTGCTTCGAGTCGCTCCTCTACGTCCACAACGAGACGTGCAACGTGTACACCCACCTGGTTGGGCTTGTCATCTTTGCTGCGCTACTCGTCTACGGCATCGCCTCGGGTTGGATCACCGACGGCTCGTTCTTGCAGGGTCTCAGCTTAGTGGTCTTCTTCACCGGCACTCTCGCGATGCTCCTCTTCTCCACCCTCTTCCACCTCGTCTTCTGCCACTCGCCGTCGGCGCACTCGCTCTTCTCGCGGCTCGACTACACCGGCATTGCTCTGATGATTGCCGGCTCGTTCTTCCCCTCCATCTACCATGTTTTCTTCTGTCGCCCGGGCCTGCAGATCATGTACATGTCTATGATCTGCGTCTTTGGCGCGGGCTGTGTCGTTGTCTCGCTGATGGAGAAGTTTGCTACACCCGAGTGGCGCATGGTCCGCATGCTCCTCTTTCTCTCCATGGGCTGCTCTGGCCTCCTCCCCGCCATCCACACTGCGTTTATCTACGACTGGGACCACATCTACGACGCTTTCGCCGTCGGATCGCACGCCCTCATGGGCCTGCTCTACGTCGGCGGTGCGCTTGTCTACGGCCTACGCCTCCCGGAGCGTCTCCGCCCCGGATGGTTCGATATCTTTGGCCACTCTCACCAGTTCTTCCACGTCTGCGTTGTCATTGCCGCCGTCTCTCACTACCGCGCCATCGTCTCCATGAAGGCCTGGCGCATGTCCCATCCCTGCCTTGTCCAATGAACTCCCTCCCCTATCTACCCCTCTTTGTCGCCTTTCAGCAATGATATCAAGCACCTGCAGCGCGCTCAAGCTGGCGTCGCCCGCCCCCCCCCCCCCCCCCCCCCTTCCCCCCCGCCGCCTCGCCCGGGCCGCCCTGCAACCAACAGCCGAACACCGGTCAGCCGTGGGACCGCGTTCGCCCAGCCGCCAAGCATATGCTTCCCAAGCCACACTCCTCCCCGAACACACGCATCCCCTCTTCCCTTACACACACACACACACACACATACATATACACATACACACGTGCGTACGCATACACACTCATTCACCCCGCCATCCCCCACACGTCGGCCATGGCGACCCGGGTGGCCGGTACAGGCTCGGCTCGCCGGACGGGCGCAGCCAGGGGTCAGCAACGGACCGCCGCATCAGCAACAGCCGCAACCTCGGCATCACCACCGAGCCACAGACTCGCACCGGACCACCACCAACAACAACGGCAGCCACAGCAGCAGCAGCAGCCGACTCGAACGCTCTCGCCGTCGCGCGCACTCTCGCCGTCGCGTGCGCTCTCACCGTCGCGCGCGCCACGGAAGCCCATCGTCTCGCGGTTGCCGTGGGAGGCCGGCGACGGTGGCGCGGGCACACGGAAGCGGTCGGTCTCGCCGGCGGCGCGGTCACGATCAAACTCGCCGCAGTTGAGACAGCTGAGAAGGGTCAAGTCGGTTGAGGGAGCAGCGGTGCAGGAGGCGGTCGGCGCGGCTAGGGCGAGTGCGGCCAGGTACGGCAGGACGGACCGGCCCGAGTTCTCGCGGTCGTCCGAGACGGTCATAGCTGGCGTCGATCCGTACCATCTGAAGGAAGCGCGGCTGGTCAAACCAATGCAGTCGTACGCCGAGTACGATGTCGACGCGGCGTGCCTTGCCGAGTCGCTGGAGCTTATTCCGTGCTCGTCGTGTGGCCGCAAGTTTGTTCGCGATCGGCTTGGCAAGCACGAGTCGATCTGCTCCAAGGAGCGGTACGTGAGGACACGGTTCGACTCATCGCATGCGCGCAAAGCAGGAACAGGGGCCGAGGTGTATGGCGAGACTGGCTCGTCGCCGCCTGCCCGCTCGCGGTCGCCACTGCCCGACGGTGCCGCCGACGCTTCGGCACCGGTTGCAGCGGGCGCCGCCGGCTCGTCGTCGACCCGCCGCCCGCGCAAGCCGCCCATCCGCGGCGGCAAGTCGACACGTGGGAGCAAGCCTTCGCGTGGGAGCTCCGCCGCCGCGTCAGCAGCAGCGGCAGCAAGTAAGCGGCGGGCGAGCAAGAAGGCGCCTGGCGAGGCGTCCGACTCGGGCTCGGGGGGTGGGGGGCTTGGCGCTGGCGCCAACCGGCGGCACGTCAAGGGCACGACCCAGCCGGGCTCCAAGTATGGGGCGCCCGTGCGGAGCGGGCGGCGGCGCGGAAGCAAGCGTGGAAGCAGGCGGCGGGCGTGACACGAGCACAGCTGCAGAGCTTTGCATTTATGTTCCGCCGCTGGCACTCAGGTCCGACGGCGGGTCCGGCGTGTGCGGCCAGTCGCCGACGGATCCGTGGGTGAGTCATCGGCCGAGGCCGTGCGGGTCCGCCGGGTGACGCGGGATGCCGACGAGGAATGTGTCGACGAGGCATTAAGGCTCTCGTCGGATGATGACGGCGCAGGCGTGGTGTCGACAGCTCGTGCAGGCGCCGGTGTGGAAGCCGGTGGCGGCTGGTCGCGGGTGACGCGCTGCGCCTTGATGGCGTTGATCCGGGCCTGGACACGGGCGATGATGCGTTCCTCCTCGGCGAGCTGTTCGTCGAGGGCGGAGAGGGCGGCCGCGCTCCATTTGGGGTCGGCCTCGGGCGTCATCTGGGTCTCCAGCTCGGCCACCGAGCGGCGAAGCATGGTCATGTACTTGATCGTTTCTTGCAGCACGTTTGTCTTCTTTGTCGACCGCGCCATCGAGAGTGATGGCACAAGCTCGGTCAGCCGTGCCAGCCGGAGCTTGATCCCGTCGCGCCGTTGCTTCTCCACCGATCGGTGATGGACCCGTCGGCGGACTTGCTGCGCCTCCTCCTCGGTCATGCTCTCCAAATCAAAGTCCTCCAGCGCCCGCTCGACCCGAGCATTCAGCTCGCGGATCTCATCGTCGTTCATACTGCGCCCTGATGCAGGTGAATCGAATACGGCTGAAACCGGTAGCTTGGCTTGTCCGACCTTTGTAAAAATATGCCGTTTCTCCGCGCGGCTCCGGCAAAACCAAGCTTGACTCCTCAGGCGGGCTTACTGGCACCAATCGACCACAACTGCAGTAAGAGACGACAAGAGAAGATCGAGGAGAACAGGAGCAAGCACGGGAGGGGGGGGGGGGAGGGCGAGCACTGAGAGTAAGTGATATGCGTGGTGATGTGTCGTAAGCCAGCGTACAGACAAGAGCGAGATACTTGGCCTTGGTCAGCCGTGTTTGGAGAGCTCTGCCGGCAGATACCCCAATTTTCACCGGAGCCCTGAATTCACCAAATGTGGTGGTGGCAGCCGGTCAGCCGTAGGGAGGGAGGGGGGGGGGGGGGGGGGAGGGGAGAGGGGGAAGGGGGGAGGAGGGGGAAGGGGAGACGGGGAGGGGATGCGTACTGGGGTAGAACCGGGTTGTGGTGTGGTGGAGGTGGCGAGGGCACGCTGGGGGAGGTGGCGAGTGAGGGAGAGTGGTGGAGCGGGTGCAGCGGCGCTAAGCGATGCAGCAACCGACCACGTGGTGGGGGCGAAATTGGGCGTGGGCGGTGGTGGAGGCGGAAGAGGGGTGGGGTGAGGAAGGCAGAGGGAAAGGGGGGGAGGGGGGGGGGGGGGGGGGGGGGGGGGAGGGAGGGAGGGAAGGACGAGGAGGGGGAAGGGGGGGCGTGTAACGTCAGGTTGTTCCATCCCGGAAACAGTGGGCATGAGGGCATGAGCAGGGCTACTCTCCCCGCAGGCCCGAGCCACGAGGCGGGCAGGAGAGCGGCCATGTTGGGGCACTTACATGCGCTCAATGACAACAGCAGACGCGCCACCGCCGCCGTTGCAAATGGCAGCGACGCCGAGCGAGGCGTCGCGCTGCTGCAGAATGGAGGCGAGGGTGACGAGGATGCGCGAACCGGAGGAGCCGATGGGGTGGCCGAGAGCGACGGCGCCGCCGTTGACGTTGAGCTGCGACTCGACGTCGATGCCGAGGAGGCGAGCGTTGCAGAGGGCAACGACGGCAAAGGCCTCGTTGATCTCAAAGTAGTCGATGTCGGAGACGGCGACGCCGGCGCGAGCGCAGGCGCGCTCGATGGCCGGAGTAGGAGCGTCGGTAAACTTGATGGGCTCCATGGAGGCGTCGCCCATGCCAAGGATGCGGGCGATGGGGGTGAGGCCTGCAGCCTTTGCGGCGCCGTACGAGGCGATGACGAGGGCCGAAGCGCCGTCGTTAATCTTGGAGGCGTTGCCCGCGGTGACAGTGCCGTCCTTCTTAAAGACGGTACGGAGCGAAGAGAGCTTGTCGAGGGCCATGCCTGCGGGCTCCTCGTCCTCGTCGACGACCGACTCACCGCGGCGCGACTTGACGGTGACGGGCGCGATTTCCTGGTCAAAGAGGCCGGCTGCGGCGGCCTCGCGAGCGCGCTGGTACGAAAGGGTGGCGTACTCGTCCTGGGCGGCGCGCGAGATGCCATGCTCAGTAGCGCACGCCTCGGCGCAGACGCCCATCATGGAGCCGTCGTAAGCGTCGGAGAGCCCGTCGCGGGCAATGCCGTCAAGAGCCTTGGAGTGGCCGTAGCGCGAGCCCCAGCGCGAGTCCGGGAGGTAGAACGGGGCCTGCGACATGGACTCCATGCCACCGGCAAGGACAAAGTTGGCCTCGCCGAGGCGGATAGCCTGGGCGCCGAGCATGACAGCCTTAAGGCCCGAGGCGCAGACCTTGTTGACCGTCGTCGACGGGACGCCGACACCGAGGCCGGCGCCGATGACGACCTGCTTGGCCGGCGCCTGGCCGACGTTGGCCTGCAGCACGTTGCCAAAGTAGGTCTCGTCGATGGCAAACGGCTCCGAGGCGACCTGTGTCACCGGATTTTTCTCGTCGGCCGGAGTGAGCGAGAGGCCAGCGCGAGCAAGAGCAGCCGACGCCGCTGCCGCACCCAGCTGCGGCGCCGTGAGCGATGCCAGCGAGCCGCCAAAGGTGCCCACGGCCGTCCGGGCCGTCGACACGATGACCGGGTCGCTGTCAGCCGGCGTCGACGAGGCCTGACGGGCTGTGGCAGCTGCTGCGGTCCTTGACGCGGTAGCGGCGGTAGTGGCGAGACGCGGGACGAGGTTGCGAAGCATGAGTTAGTGTGGGGAGGAGTATGGGTCGGGGACGGAGGGAGGGGGGGGGGCGTGTTACAGTACTGCGGCAACGTTGTAGATAATCGATAGGGGATCGATGGTGGTTCGAGGACTGTGCTTGGGCTCGTCTAAGCCTGTGACGCCTCGCCATCGGCCACGGCATCCTCAGCGCTGGCGTTGGCGGCAGGCGCGGCGTCGGCGTCGGCAGCAGGCGTGGCATTGTCGTCATCGTCCGAGACATCGTCGTCGGCTTCGAGGAGGGCGGCGGCGTCGGCGTCATCGTCGACAAAGTTGTCGTGTTCGCTGGAGGGGACCTCGTCTTCGTCCGAGAGCGAGACGCCGTCCTGGATGACGATGCCGGTCGAAGCCGAGTCAGCGACGGCCTCGGCCGGGTCAAACTCGTCAGGAATGCTCACCTGACCAAACTGAAAGTCACCGTCGGCAAACGGGTTGCCGTCGTCGTACTCGCCATCGTCGTCGTCGACGGCGGCGCCAAAGGCAATGTCGTCGTCATCATCATCAAAGGTGGCCGAGCCCTGGCCAAAGCCGGCGAGAGCCTGGTCGGCGCCCGGCCCGAGGAGCTGCGAGAGGATGTTCTGCAGGTCCTCGATGGAGGTGAGCATCTCGCCTGAGCCTCCGCCCGAGCCGGCGTTCCCTGCGTTGCCGCCCAAGTCACCCGGGCCGCCCGAGCCGTCGGAGCCGCCCATGTGGTAGCGCGGGTCCGAGGCCAGCGGGCCGGTGAGCTCGGCGCCCATGGGCTTGGTGTTGAGCTCGTTAAAGGTGGAGAGCTCTGCAGAGACAAAGGCGGCCCACGGGCCCGAGTCGGCAAGGAGCGGGCCAAAGAACGGCGAGGCGTTGAGCGCGTTGCCGAGAATGCACACGTGGCCCATCGAGGGGAGGCGGAAGCCCTTGGGTGAGGCGACAGCCTCGGCGTTCTCCGCCGACTTGGCGAGAAGCTTGCCGGGCAGGTCAGCGCCGTCGGGCCCGAGTGCAGCGTGGAGGGCGGCGACGACGGCCGGGACGGCGGCGTCCGAGTAGGCCTCAGCGGCCGCAAGCGTAGCGGTAGCGTCGGCGACGGTGGCGCCACTGCGGCCGACGTCGACGGCGTGGGTGGCCGAGGCCGGGAGGGCGAACGAGCCCGGATACTTGCGGAGGATGCCGAGGACAAAGTTGGTGACGGCGGTGTGGAGGACGTTGTTCGAGGGCGAGGCGACAAAGAGGTCGAGAAGGAGCGAGACAACGTCAAGGTCGACAAGCGCCTGATCGATAGCGGGCGAGTTGATCTGGACAAGGGTGACCAAGACCGAGATACGGTGCATGGCCTCGAGGGTGACGCGGCGCGGGAGCGTGGCCGAGTACGCAGTCTCCAGCGGCTCCGAGGTCGAGGTGGCGCGGCGAATGTCCTCCACAAGAAGTGGGACGAGCGGAACAGCCATGGCCACAAGCTCCTCGATCTCGCCGAGAGCCGAAGCTGCGCGCAATGTCTTCCACTGTGTCCCGAGCTTCTTCTCGACCGGGACCGGCGAGTCGACCATGCCACCCATGGCGCCCGCCATGTCGTCCATCGGCGGCGCCGAGGCCGCGGCGAGCGAGGCAAACACGCCCGGCGGGAACGGGTAGCCATGGGCGCCAACGACGCCGACGTCGTCGCCGCCGCCGCCGCGCGCCATGTGCTTCTTCACCTGCGCGTCGGCGGCAAGGGCAAGAACTCGAAGGAGGGCGTCAAAGCCCGAAGCAAGCGTCTCGGGAGTCGAGGCGTACGTCACCAGCGCCGAAAGCGTCTGCGGGGCGGTGAGGGAAGCCCCAATGGACGACGCCGCAATCTCCAGCGACTCGACCGTGTCGATAAGCGACATAAAGGTCGCGGTGACAACAGCCTGCGTCTCGGGCTCAGCCTTGGCGTCAAACTTGGCCACAATCTTGCCGACCAGGTTCTGCTCGGCGAGCCAGCCAAGCTCGCCGTGCCGGTGCGCATACTCAACAAGGACCGGAGGAGCTCGGAGATAGGCTCGAGCTCGATGCCCTTGATCAGCTCGTCCACCACCGCGGGCTGAGCCTTCATGGCCGCAAACGCCGCGCTCGCGCAGTTCTGCATGACAAGGTTGAACACGGCGCCAAAGCGGTCGGCGCGGACCCGGGCGTTCTCGTCTGCTGCCTCGTCGGCAGCGTCCGACTCGGACATCGAGTCCATCGAGTCGGACGTCGGGCTGGCAAGCGCGTCGGCAGCAGCGGAAGAAGCGGCAGCGGCAGCGGCAGCATCTCCGTCGGCGGCTCCGTCGTCGGCGAGAGCGTCGGGCCCGTCGGCGAGAGCGTCGGGCCCGTCGTCGGCGGCGGCCGGCGCGTCGTCAGGAGTAGCAGCAGCGGCATCGTCGGCAGGCGCCGGGAAGCGCTCGTCGAGGGCGCCGGCCACAATTTCCGGGAGCGCCGAGAACAGCAGCTGCAAGTGGTCCTCGGTAAAGGCCTCGTAGACCGGCCAGCCTGCGGTGGCGAGGACGGCGCCGGAGACGCGGGCGTACTTGGCGTACGAGGCGGCGGCGGCGGGCGAGTTCGGCGACGCCTGCGGCTCGGCATCGGCGGTCGTCGGGTCGGCGTCGCCGTCGTCGGCGGTGGTGGCGGCTGCGTCCGTGGATTCTTCCGCAACTTGGACAGCAGACGGAGCACTTGCGGTCGCAGCATCTCCTGAAGCGTCAGCAGCAGGGTTCGGTACAAGCGCATAGGTGAGGAGGGCGCGGAGCGTCGAGGGCAACTTCAAAAAATTGACCAGCTCGCCATCCTGCTGGCGAACCTCGTCCACAAGGCTCTCCTCGTCGAGGAGCTCCTCAAGGGTGAACTCGGGCTTGGCGAGGATCGACGACACCGCCAGGTTGGTCCTCCGAAAGAAGGCCCCAAATTGGGAAAGCAACATCCTCGGGGTCTACGCGCGGTCGAGTATTCCCCACCCGCGTGCGAACAACCGTCTGTCTGTCCGCGGCGGCCTCGGCCCGTCGCGCCCACCCGCCCCGCCCACCGAAACGGTTGCATATTGATCTGTAGGTGGGGGGGGGGGGGGGGGGGA